TCAGTTTATTTTCGGAATGCCTCATTTCCGCTTTATTATCGCTTTCTGACCCACGTGTGATAACGTCCTAAGTTGGATTTACTCTGGAGACAAAGTTTCAAATCCTTGCTCAGTTATGGAAACCTACTGGTTGACCTTGGGCAAGTCACACTTTCTCAGCCTCAGAGGAAGAAAAAGGCAACCCCTGTGTGAACAAATCTTGCCAAGAACACCCCGTCAGGGTTTCCATAAATCAGAAATGACCTGAAGGCACACAACATTTTTTCTAGCCAGAACACTGATGCCAAGCAGAGCAGAGGGTGAGCTCTAGTGCTAGAATAACTGGGAGGGAAGGAGGAAGATAGCTAAGTAAATACACAGTCCATGTTTGCAAGTTGGAGCAAAAATGTATTACACCTTAGAAATTGTGGCAATCTGATGTTCTTCTAGCTGAACTGAAGGTTTACCCACAGCCCTTTCCTCGTTTCTGGAGATGTTTCCTGAAAACTAGACTCAGGGACAGGTCCTGAGATCTGACAACCCTAACTACAACCAATATAAAGGGCGAAGTCTATATTGTGCAGAATAACTCCTCAGCTATATCCTGGATCTCAAAAGGAAGTCCCTTTTTGTGTTGCTAATGGAATTTAAATTTTATTTCCTGGACTTTACAAAGCTTTGTCTCCCAGTACCACATGGCCAGAAGGAGGAGTGGCTTTCCTACATAGATTTACCTCTATGCTATCTTAGCTCAGAACAACATCTTGGCAAAATGCGGGGCTCTGGCTAATATTGTCATATTCCCCCCCCCCCATATGGTTTTTAACGCCTTTGCTTGAAGAAGGAGCTAGTGGTGCTCCGAAAGCTTCTGCCATGTATTTCTGTGCATTTTGTTTGCCCCAATAAAAATATCACTGTTTTATGGATTTGATATATAAATATAAATATAAATATAAATTAATAAATAAATTGAATTGTGTATTGAATAAATGTTGAATTACAAACACTCTTTAAAAACAATGCAGTTTTCAAAGGTGTTTTTCACACTTAAATTACTCATTGCTTCCTCTGAAAAAGCCACATTATTATACTTTGCTATATGATCAACACGGCTATCCCTGTATATGATCCCCAACTACAATGTTTCCTAGGCAGGAAATGATATTTTCTTTGCAGAAAATAATGGCTCTTCAGAAAAATATGATTTTCTTGCAGAAAAAGCTATTTCCGGTCCAGACAGGGCTATTTTCTCTGCCACAAAAATTATAAATCTAAATAAATAAATTGAATTTTGTATTGAATCAATGTTGAATTACAAATACTCTTTTAAAACTATGCAGTTTTCAAAGGTGTTTTTTACAGATAAATTACTCATTGCTTTCTTTGAAAATATCCACATTCAGGGAGTGTCCCGCAATTTCAGCGACTTTGAGTTGGCTTCCGCATGAGAAAGAGTACTTCTCCATCTCAGGCTGTGCCATAGAAAGGGTGGTGAATAGCCTTCCACCCCCCACCGGACCATTGGCACCATAGTTGGTACTCCAAAGAAACCACCTTGGCCCCGCTCTCCCTGCACTGGAAAAATAGTAGTGGGCAAGAAGGGCTGGTGTGGTTTCCCAAAACAGCTGACCATCTTTCCTTCCATCCTGGGGGCTCCGTCAGAATGAGAAAGAGGGCAGTGATGTGGTCCCTGCAAAAACAACCTGAAATCTTCTACCTTGGTTTGAAGGAGATCTGAGAGCAAAATAGCAGGTGGGCATCTATAGACAGTAATAGTGGCAAATTGCTTCAGACACACATGTTGCCTGGGGTGGGCTTTTAATGCTGTTCAGTGCTGTTTTCAAGGGGTATATGTTGTCTTATAATGAATTTTTAGTTTTTTTAATGTTTAAAACATTAAAGCCATGGTTTGTTTTTTAAATAATTTTATATGTATTCTTGTAGTGACACTTTTGTACAGTTTTAATCTATATTATTTTAAAATATTTTTAATTGCCTTGAGTCTCATCGTTGAGAGAAAGGTGGAATATAAATGAATCATTAGCATCATCTGTACTTGTAAGAAAGTATTGGTGATGTGTTAAGTCACTGTATGTTCCATTTGCTTTGGGGGGGGAAATATGATCTTCAGGCTGAAAGTTTAAACAGTCTCCCTCAAAATTCACACTTTACAATTGTTGTTATTGTATACCTTCAAGTCATCTCCAGCTTATGGAGACTCTAAGGTGAATCTATCATGGGCTTTTCTTGGCATGATTTGTTCAAAGGAGATTCGCCATTGCCTTTCCCTGAGGCTGAGAATGGGTTTCATGGCCAAGTAGGGAATCGAACCCTGGTCCCCAGATTCAAAGTCAAACACTAAAACCATTATGCCACACTGGCTCTCTATGATAAATTATTAATTAGTTTAATATTGGTAATAATACAGTGATTGAAGTTTGCCTTTCTTGAAAACCAGGAAGTATTATTCAATACTACAGCACTTGAATGAAAATATCCACGCCACCATGACAAAATGACTCATGTACTGCATTTTTCGTTCTTTGTGTGAAATACATATAACACTGCATTTGTATTAAACATCTATTTAAACATTTGTTTAACAATCTGGAATAGGACTCTTGTGACTTCCTTACACAGTTATCAATATGGATTGTTTATGCACAGCAATCTCG